TCTCTCTCACGAGGGCACTTAAAAAAAATTAAAACCACACATTATTTAGATCATATAAGCAGTCTGACTCAGTTCACATGGGAGTCATTTTCCTACTGAACTTGCTCTGCATTGGGTAAATAACCAAGCAAATAACTAGCCCACCATAAGAGCAGAGTGTGGAAGCTGGCACTGTGCATGCTGGTGGTATCCCTTAACCACTAAACTGGGGATCTGCTCAGCCTCTCCCTGGCCTCATAAATTGTTATTCCATGCTGCTGGGAAGAGCTTCAAAAGCAAGGATTCAGAGAAACCTACACTGCAGCAGGTTTCCAAGCAGGCATGGTACCGAGACATGAGTTCAGCCCCCTTAGGTAGGAGAGGGCCCTGAACTGGTGTGTCCTGAATTGCAGGGGCCAGTTGTGTCCCTTAGTATTTGGGTCAGTCTAAGGCATTTCACCCTTTCAGAAATAAAAGGCAGAGGCCTGTATTATTTGCAAGGCTCCCGTATAAACAGACAGACCATCTAAAAAGAGCAAATACTTGAAACACTCTGTTGGCTTTGAAAGATTTGGATTGTACTTCATAATGGGAACAGGCAAAAACCTAATCTTTCATAAGCAAATAGAAAAAAAATAACTGTAAAGCAAGTGAAGATATGTAGGTATTAACTACTCGATAAAAAACTCCACTGAAAAGGTGGAAAAGAAAAGGTAAGAAGCTTTCAGTACACATAAAAATTTTTACTAACTTGATGGGTTTTTCACAATGTAACTTGTACTAGTAGACATGATCATTACTGAAGTACAGATAAATTAAATTTGCTACATTATGCTGTTACCCATAATTGAGTAACACTGCAATTGCCAAAGGGATCCAAGTACTATAATCAACAAATTTACAAGATAGTATTACCAAAAAAAAAAAAAAAAGTGGGTTTAGTGTTAAAATTTTCTTGTCTTTGCATTTATCTAGAACTCTAAACTTCTTGACTTAAGTGCTTTGGCTGCTAAGCAATTACACGACACAGCAATGCATATCACCATAGTTGGATAACTTTAATGCTCTGCCTAGAAAACAAAGAAGGGACTTGTTGCACATTCACACATATAGACATATATATATATGTATATAAAATTATGATAACATATATATGAAACGAATGAGACAAAAAACATCACAACACTGTATGATATCACTCTGGCCTCATTTTCTGTTCCAAAGACATGATAAAGACAACTGCAGCCATGAATACAAGTACTTGAAGCAAACTTGTGCAGTTGTAGACCAAAGGAAAACTAGGTACATGATGGAGATTACAAAAGGTGCTCAGCATTACAGAAATTTCATAATGTATGTTATTAATATGATGCAAAGTGCAATAACAATAAAGTATCATGAAGTGGGTTAGGAATGGCCTGATAGATCCAGCAAATAAGAAATGACTGGGGATCCTTCTACAGTTGTTAATATAGAAAGCATAGGAACTGACTGAGTATCTAAGATAATTGGATTTTCCTGATAAAATAATCACTAATGATATAATTAATAATTATGATATTCAGATGTTTCTCTTTATGTCTCAACCTTAATAACCCAGTGAAATGAAATGGATGGCACTGCTTATGGCTTTCAGAGTTACTGTTTCAGGTTTTCTGTAGGCTCATTAAGACCATACTGGATTGCATGTACTTAGTTCACATTTTCAAGGTCAGCTTCTACCAAAAGGACTAAAGAGCATATCTGTGAAACCTCCTTGTATTATTCCCTCTTCCAAGCTGCATTGGCTAGGATAACCTGCCATTGCACCTGCTGCTTCTCACCAAATTGTTGTTTTCACAAATAAATACAATACACATGCTTTAAAGAAATTGTTCCTTTTATTTTCTTTATGCTAAAATATGTTTAGTGAAAAAAAGTCCATGCTACAGCTAAGAACATGTAATTGACAATCTTTTAATTTCTAATTCAAACTTTAATTAATGTAATAGAATTATACAGCCCCACAGCATATAGATTGACAATATTCTCTTGTGTGTGCATTTTACAGATGTACTGTGATCTTGGAAAGAGAAGATGGGGGATGAGACAATATACAGTGCAGCAACACAGAACCCTGTAACACTGCGGAATTATTACTGTTACTTTCCAGCATGTTGGAGGAGTTGGTGCTAGTGCTTATTTCTTGTCCTTTTGGCCAAAATGTTACCAGCCACAATTGCTCCTGACAAAATAAATCCTATTGGGCCATATGTTTCCTAATGATCCACAGATGACAGTTTAATAGCAGCCATTGTAGACCAAGAGTATGAAAAATAAACAAGGAATGCATCATCATTAAAAAGCTGAAAGGTTCCTGTAATTACAGATCTCTATCAGAACACAAAGCCTGGAGAATATTGAAAGCAAGATCTTTCCAATGTATAGGGAAAAATGATTTGTTGTGACATTTAAAGAAGGCATGCACATGTCAGGAACTCTGTAGTAGCTTTCTTAGGTGTGAGAATATCCGTTACATAAATTCCTCTGTCCTAGCACTGTGTAAGAAAATATCCTTACATATAGACATAAATGACTGGTGAAATTACAATATTACTCAGCATTAAATTTGTACCTTATCAGCCTGACTCTGAACACCCTGTGCAAAGTTCCCACTGTTGTAGCATTTTTGATTTCTGACAAGGTTCTCATGAATTGTGCAAATTAGTCATGTATAACTCAAGCTAGCAATTTGCCATGAAACACAGATGAATTTAATTGCTGATAATTTCATATTAAAAAGAAAATTTTCCCATTAAAAACATTTTCCTGAACCTTGTTTTCAACTTCAATAGTCATAGTCATCTTATGTTTTGAAATCTATTCAAGCACAAGATGAATTACAAGGGAAATACCTGTACCCATTTTAGAATAAAGAAGCAGAAAAAAACATTTCTCTTTCTGGTAAGAAAAGGAACAAATAAAATTATGTAAGATATGAAAAGGTATTGTAAGAAAAATTTCTTCAGTGTTTTGGAACTACATGATCTTTAAGGTCTCTTCCAACCCAAACAATCCTAAATTTCAGTAAACCCTGCAGAACATGGCATATGAGTTAATAGAACTTGTTCAATAAAGGCTGAACTTTGATAGTGAAAATTTAAGTTTTACTAGGTTGGAAAACCATCTGAAGACATTTAGAGAAAATATCATTATAAAATATAACACAAAGTTCTAAAGATTATAATATCTTCTACTTAGCATTTCTGCACACTCATTTCCTTTCCTTTCACTCTGAACTCACATCTACTAGGTATGATGATGATTTTTCAAAAAATATTTAAAAATATCACGTTCTTTTTTGTCATGATGAATGTCTTTTTTGAGTTTATGCTACTTTGTCATGTGAAGAGAGCATTTCTAACTTTTCATAGCATTGAGCAATTTTTTTCCTTACTAGAGGCACCTGAGAGAAATGCAGGGCCAAACTTCCGTCATGCCCTCAGCAAGGACTGCATTTTTGCATCTGCGATTTTTAAGGCACAGCTGAAATTATTTAAACACCTAACCATTTGATTTACAGATGTAATCAGGTACCTCTATATACAAGTGATTGTAACTGCAGGTGTTAGATTGGGGACTGTCATTTGAAATTCTTCCTCAAATGTGGAAAATAATTATCAAGAAATTATTTATGTGGGTTCATTAAACAAGTAAGCTTCAATCCTTGTATTCTCCCTGTGTGTTAAGCTGTTTAAATCCTTAGGTAGCCTTCCTGTGATCTCTGCTCTCATTGTTTTTCCTGCTCCACTTTTTCTTATATCAAGTATGAATACAGCATCACTTGCTCTCACACAAGTGTAACATTTATTCTGTGTAGGCTGTGCACCCGGTTCAGTTGCAGACTTCCATGGACTGGTCCCTTTGTTTTATATACAGAACCCAGGAACAAAATTAGACACTCATGTAGAGATGGTGTAAGCCACTCACTCACTCCCTTCCTCTGATCCAGACTTCAGCTGCATCAATAAAGCAATTCTCACCAACACTGAAGACTTAGCTACTGAGCATGATGGCCACAATCTGGCTCCACATTTTATTATTCCATCTAACAGCCTCAGAATCAAAGATATTGTTTTTCCCTTCTGCCCTTTTAGCTGTCCTTTGCCTGCACTTGTAGGAAGATAATCAATACAGATGAAACAAAAAGGTAATGGAAAACCTTGTTCTTCAAATGTTTTGCAGGATACAAAATGGCATTACTGTGTCACACAACAATTCTGCGCACACAGACAGCTAATGTCACCTTACCCATATCTGTAAATTTATGTACTAACAATTTATAAATTAATAAAAAACAACAGGCAGATCATGTGTAACAATCTGTACTCTGTACTCTTACAGGAATTATAGAAGTCTTCATCTGCTGTCCCTGGGCCCTCTCCTAATATTTCTGTGTTGTCCAGATTGCAGAAGGGCTGTTACAGTGACACATTGTCCCAGTAAGAACTGTATCAATTGCCACTGCAGTCACTGTTCCTGCCCAAGCCTGAGTGTTCCACTGCGCGTGTGGAAAACTCTCTGACCTGTAGAGTAAAAAAACCTACAACACTGAAGACTGCATTTACAGACTCCACCAAATGCTGTACATTTTAATTATATAAACTATTCCAAAAACTGAAGCATAACAAAGAAGATTTTAGCATTTCATTTAATTATCTTTGGTAATAATTTTTTCTACATGAAATTTACATGAATTATATCTCCATTAAGATAATAGATAATATAATCCTCTTCTGAAAAAATGGTGTCTAGTTCATTCGATTTAGCCTGGCAGTTTTCCAGATCGTTAAAGATATTTTTCAGTATTAAATATTGGCAATGACACAGTCATCTCTTTACTACGTCTAGATGAAAGTTAGGAGTATATGTCATATGTTTTTCTTTCATTACTCCCTTACAGGATGCATGTTGGTAAAATTAACTAAAAGGAATTACAAATGCTATTCTTACTTTCCTGGATTCCTGTGAGGGTGAAGAAAAGTTTGGCCCAAGCAATACTGAAAAACTAGCAGAAAGTAATAATAATAAATAAAAAAAAAGAAAACAGCCAAAAAAACAAACAAAATCCCACAGAAAACAAACAAACAAAAAAACCCACAAAACAAAAACCAAAAGAAACAAAAAAACCCCCACATTACATTCAACCAAGCAAAAATGCAAACTAATTAGTCAGGTAAGTTGGAGGAGGGTAGCAAGAATTAAAATCCTCAAGAAAAGGAACATCTTGATGTTAGCAATGCCAGGAGAGCTTTAGGAGTGTGTATTAGCGAGGAGCTAGGCACTAAAAGTTTAATCTATTCAGGGCTTCAGAGCATCAGTTAATCTGCATTGAGAAAGGAGTGTCTTATTCTGCAAGGAGAAATGGCAGCCCTACACAGAGCAAAGCTCTGGACACACAAAGTATATGATGTAACATGTAATACCCATGGGGCTTTAACATGTCCTGCTGCTGATTCCTGAATCATACCACAGGTCATCAACAGGATAATTAGAAAGATTTTTACTGACATCAGCAGGCCTTGGGCCAGGCTCCAAGCTAGGTCTTAGTGTATAACTGATGATGGCAAACAGACGAGGACTTCACATCAAGCTACAGATGTTATCTGGGAGGTAAATGTAGTCTGTTTATTACGATTCCACACAGAAATCTGCAAACATATTTGTGTTTCTTAATATCACAAGATAAGCATAATTGCAAAGGAAATTAGTGTAGAATGACAAATGTAGCTCAGGGGCTAGTTTTCATTAACATGTAGAGATTTTCTAGGTTATTGCTGTGGGAGAGAATGATGCCAAATGAGACATTAAAAGGGTGCAAATGCCAAAATTGTCTAACACCATTTTTCTTAATAATATAAAGAATAATTAGTTGGAAAAAACACCTGAAGATGAACTTTATGGTGGAAAATTAATGTTTTTAGGAATCAGGAATTCCTTACTGGAAACCTCTAGCTACCCTTTATTTCAACTATTAAAATTACCTTGGAGAAAATGTGATGTTCTCTGTGGCTATAGAAAATTCTGGAATGAAACAAAAAAAAAACCAGATGAGAACCCCTAGAAATTATTTAGTGCCTTTCATCCTTCTCCACATGGCATGCTGTGTTGAAAGGAATCATGATCCCAATGACACCAATCACTCATATGTGGACAGCAATGTGATTTTCTGTGGATTCAATCTTCCCACTGTGTACAGTTCTTGGTACTTCCTATTGTGACATGCAGAGGTTTTTTTAAGTCTCAAACTCCACACAATTAACTTTTATAATTTGGTAAGAAATAGAGTAGGTCTTTTGCAAAGGTCTCATTGCCGGTCATCATGACTTTCAGAAATTTTATCCCTCACTAAGATTTATAGAGTAAGATAAAGCATGTCAGGGACAAATTAGTACTACAGAAACTTTCTTCTCTTAGATTAACATGTAAAGCTTTTTTTTATATTACCAACACCTTTGGTTGCCAACCCTCAAACAAGTCAAAGTGCCATCCTTCCCTCTGCAGGGTGTTCCTCTCGCTTTTGCTTGCAGAGAAACAGAACTCCTACCAGAGCTGTAAAAAGACAACACAAGTCTCTCTGCATCTGCTGCAGCATGAAAGAGACAAGCCCTTAATTGTTTCTGGCTTTTGGAAACACAGGAGGTACACATCAGGCTATGAAATGGCTGCAACATGCAGCAAGAAGGGCAAAAAACTCTTGAACGGTTGTGTTTTAGCAGGCTGCAACACAACCTTGGCATGTGCCCAGGGAGGAGAAAGAGGGAGCTGCCTGGGATGCGTGTAATGTTTACCTTCCTGACACATAAAAATTTTTCCTGGGCCTGTCATCATGTCTGTTGAATACTTGCCTGGAGGAAACCAACTGGTTTGCACTGCTTTTGTAAGAACAGCAACACCAGTTTGCCTGTCAGCATCACTGGGGCAAAACAGTCCTACTCTCCAGACATGGAACTGGGTCTCAACCTGCTAAATAAGCTTTGGACCAAAACAGAGAGTGGATAGTGCTGCATGCTGTGTAGGAGACAGTAGACGGAGTTAGGGAGAAGAAGGAAGGAGTGGGATGAGACATTCTCATGAAAAATTCTTCCTGGAAGAAGGTGTCTTCATAAAGAAGCCTAGAAAGTAACCACTCCTTTGTAGATATCAGAAAGCACAGAGAGGATGCTTCAAATGTCTGAATTGCCATACCAAACGCATATGGCTACACTCCCCCTCAAACAGTCCTAGTCAGGACAGACAGACAGTATGATGTCTACAAGCGTGCAACTACATTCCACCATGTTTGACAGTATTATTGGAACTCATGCACATATTTAATACCTGACACATTACAGTGTTGCCAGCACTGGCCACATTTTCCATTCTTAAGGGAAAGGTGTTGTGGCTAAGCACCGGGGTTCTTCTGAGACCAAGAAGCACATCTTGTCCTACTGTTGAAAGTACTGGTGAAAATATAACTCCCTTCTTTCAGTCTGTCTGAGGAAACTGTTTATTCAGTTATATGACATATACAGTTACATCTTTCTCCACCAGTGTCCTAGTTAGAACAGCTGGGACTGATTCATCATTGGATGGGTGTAGCCCAAAACTGTGTATTCTATAGCCCTCCATGCCATTTCCCAGAAACTGTTGTCAGTAGAGGCCTGCGAGGTGCCCCCCCCCCCCCCCCCCATGCTCCTGTCCTCATGCCCTTTTGTGGAAATTCCCTGACTGAGCACCCTCACACCCTTTTATGGAATTCCCCACTCTGAGGGAAGGACTGAACATCCTTTTATGGAATTCCCCACTCTGGGGGAGGGGCTAAGCATTGCTGCCTGAGCTGGAGAATATATAAACCTGGAGTTTCAGAACCTTGCCTCTCTCTCCACTCGTGGGACCCAGAGGAGGACTGCAGTTCAACCACCACCCTCGGCTGGACTACAATCACCATTTTTTAGCTGGACTGCAGCAGCTCTCCCACCAGCAGGTTTTTTCCCCTCTCCCTTTGCTTTGGACTCAAGGGGGGCCCAGGGAGCACTGTTGTGTTTGTGCCCTGGGGTGCCAGGTTGTACATTTGGGTTTTGTGGGTTGATACCAATTGCTTGTCTGTGTAGTTGTGCTTATTGTATTATTTTATTAAATTGTTATTCTGACTTACAATCTCTCTTTTGAGTTAAGTTCATTTCCCCTGCTGGTTAACTTTTAAACCAGCACAACCAGCATTTCAAATCAGATCTAAAGAATAACTTCAAAAAATAAAACGAAGATTAAAAAAGACCTGGTTCTCCAGAAACAGCCAGGTGTCTAGATGCTTTTATTTTGTTTGTAGTGGAAGAGAGTCAAAGAAGTGTTTTGCAGAGCATTCAGGCAAAAAGGGAAAGAAGGTAGGATTTTCTGATGGACAAATGTATGTGTTTCAGCTTGGAGTGGCCGCAGGGAGAATTCCTCTCTGCTTTTCAGTGAGTGACTGATCTGTCTGTGACAGGAAAGTTAGATGTAAGAGGCAAATATTTGTGACATAGTGCAAAAGAATTGTTTGGATTCCTTTTCCCTTACAAAACTTTCAACTAGGAATACACCCTTCGAGTTACAGTGCAGGATAGGAACTAGCCACCCTGAAGAGCTGCCAGAGAAGTAGTTCTTCAGTGTGAGAAGAAATGTGTGGATCTTTTATTTCAAACTGAATTTAGAGATCAATCTTTTTTAGGCCAAATACCTGGTTGCCAATGAAACTCACATATGGCTCTAGAGGAGATTTTCTTTTTTCAATATATTTCTTTTTTCACCTAGATCTGAGAGTTTTGATGGCACCTAATCAAGTGAGAAGGAAATTGCAAAAAATAGAGGGTAGAGAAAATGGTAAAGGCAGTTACTGTCTGGTGGAGGTACAGAGAGAGATAACCATTTCCATCAAAAGAAAATGGTTCAGCAAGGTTAAAAAGCACTGGAAGCAACACTGATGGCAATGTAATTGCTGAAAATGAAAATGGTTATGATTTTTATTGGCCTGAAGAAGAATTGCATAGTAATAGTACTGCAGCTGGTGAATCTCAAAAGGCAGCTAAGGAAAAAAAGCATGAGGTGGTGCCAAATGACCTTTCTGGCTGCCATGGTATAGTTGGTTACAGTGGGGATGCACTTACCAAGAGACTTCCTTATGGGGTGCTTTTCTTGGCCCTTCATACTCATGGCTCTGGAAAAGGACACAAACTCATTCAATTTAGTTTTTAACAGTGTAAACATTATTTTTTTCTCCATTTTCTCCTCCATTTCCCTTAGATGTTCATGGTCCCTGATTGCAGTGGGATCATAGCACAGACAGAAATACAAGCTGAGGATGCCACTGGCAATGGGCAGCTGCATGATGGTCTGGTTGAGTGCCCATCTCTTACCAGATGTCAGCTCTGGTCTGATCTGCTGGGAGCAAACCTCTTCTTTCCAAAGTGCCTGCTGTCCTTACTGCCATTTTCTTGCTGGTGCGTGGAGACAGATCACCTGTGCAGGCAGGGCCTGTCTTCCTCTCCGTCTGTTTGCACACTGAGAAACAGGAGGAGAGCCTGATTTCAGCCTAATCTGACTTTACAGCAGTCCATCACTTAAGATAACCCACTGGAAGTGTCTTTTCCATTTCAACTGGCATGCACCAATAAAGTGTGGCATTCCGTAGATTTTAGCCCATCGAGATGTAAGCAAAACAGAGACAATATTGAATATTTCCATGTTTTATTTCTCTGTTTTACCTTAATTGGAAATAAAAGACTTCTGCATTTTAAAGCTGTTTGTTCATTGCAAAAAGCATGGAAAGGGTTGATGGAAACAATTGTTAGAGAAAGATTTTCTGTTGGGAAAATAGAGGCAATGTAAATCAATATATCTCCAGAGAAAGATCAATTTTTATGGAATTTTCCCATCATGATAATCTAAATTAAATACTTTATGTTTACATTAATTTCTGCATCCAGTTACAGCAGCATTGCGCATGATAGCACTTGCAGCCAGAAAATACTCTTCTTTATTCTCCCCAATGAGCCAAGCTTTTTGTTTGATCTGCATCTCCCTCATGCACCAAAGTTTCCGTTTGATGATGACTTGCTCTGATGAATCCCTAGAATTTCAGCTGAACTCAGAAATGGGAATGGGAGAGAGCAAACAAGAACCACGTTGCAAACAGGCATTGAAGAAACCCAGACATAGTGATATCAAGGTCAAGCTGAGCTAGATGCACTGCTGTTGCCAGTTCCCTTTGATTTTAAGTAATTTAATTCTGAAAAAGCTCTTAAATTTTTGCTTACTTATTCTGAATTTGGTTTGGATTTAGGTATAGTCATATTTTGCTTAGATGTATTTTCCCACTGAGAGAGGACTCAACAAAAGACTGAGATGGAGAATAAGGCCTGTAAATGGTATGGCGAGAAGGGCAGGGAACTCAGCATGGTAAAGCCCTGATCAAGCACAGAAGGTCACAGAAAGAAAGAGAAAACACGAAAGTACAGAACTCGGTTGGTTTCAGTAGAAACTTAATTGCAATTGTCTTTCAAACTGTGTCACACTTTGAAGGGATTTATGTAAATTCAGCCTACCAGCACCACTGTCCTTCCTGGAGGGAAGCTTCTCACACCGATATTTGTGACAACAGCTCAGTGGTGTCAGATTAGAGACAGCTACTGAAACCCTCTGTCAACTGATCCTAGGGTGGCTCTCCTTAAGGGTTCATCATGGATGAGGAAGGAGAGTTTGGGTGGAAAAACATCATCACTTTCAGGAGCTGCGCAGACAACTTCGCTGGCAAAAGAGGTAAGACAAACCTGAAAAGGTGCAATCCTCATGGTGTGTCATGACCATCTAATTACCTCCATGGTTCTGCACCATCTAAATGAGCTAGTACCTGCTTGGAGGCTGAGGCTGCGAGGGTGAAGTACAGGCTGTCAGTGATTTTCAGGCAGGGAGATTGCTGCTACACAGGGAAAATCTGTACTTCTTTTCCTGTGTCATAATATAGTCTCTCTGCCATATATAATCTCTGCCATAATTATGAATAATTACTAAATTATGCTCTCTAATACTATATATTTCTCTAATACATTGCTTATTTAAACTCTAGTTTTATGATGTGTTTTTCCTCTGTTGTGATTAGAATGTGACAAAGCTATGCAAAAAAGTGAAGAAACAGGCCTTACCTGAAGAAAACTTGCAAAGGCTACTTTATGACAGAGACAGTTTGAGAAGTAATAAAATAATAATGCAAATTCTTTCTTTTTCAACAGGCCAGATTTACCAGTACACCCCAGACACATCGCTCCTCACCAGCCACACAAAACAGCTGTAAACCTGGATTAACCAGGCTGTTAAATTGAGTTTACAGCTGCTTTGCATCACCAGAATGGCTCAAAGCAGGCAGCACATACCAGTGAATACGGGCATAATCGTACACTAATGAACGATGAAGTAGTTTAGGATGCAGTATTCACTCTGGTAGAATCAAAAAGAAATCTTTATAGAGAGCAGATACGTTAGAATTTATCCTGGCTTTGCTCAAGGGGAAAAATTCATCCTCTTTTATTCTGAATGGATTATAATTAAGAAAAGCATCAGAGACAAATTATTCAAGGTTAGAAATTTAAAAGAGCTTTAAGAATTCATCCACTCTTTCCAGATCTGTTAGTGCCTGCTCAGGTTGGAGTTACAACAAGAGAAACTCATAGTTTAATTATAAAATAATGGTCAAAAAACCTGCTTAGATAAGCATGTGTTTCCATTAGGGAAGAAAAATCATTACAGAAAACAAGATTAAAAGTTAATGTTGCAAATCTCATTGTGTATAACTTCATTAATGCTGGATAACTACTGTATAATTAGCAAGGTGTTCATTGTAGAAATCTGTTAAAAAAGTTGAAATGATATCTACCTAGATGTCTGCATAGTCTGTAGTTACCTTAAAAATAATGAAGCTCAGATTATTTTTCAGTGCTTTAAAACATTGTTTTTCTTCTGTAAATGAAGCTTACAGCCTTAAGGCATTTGCCTTGCTGGAAATACAGCAGCCTCTGATATAATTTAACAAACATAGAAAGCATAAAGTCTCCAGATGACTGATTCTCATTTGTATACTCAATGAATCATTAAATTACAGGGAAAAGCTGGATCAGGAGAGCCCATGGACAGAGTAGAATATTTTCCTCTTCACACTCCCAGGCATTGCACCAACAGTAGTGCGAGATATGATGGAGATCTGGGCCCTCCATAGTGAAGACTCATGCATCACTCATCCTTCCAGGTGACTCCTAAAGCCAAGAGAAACCTGGTCTTCCAACTTGACTTACCTTTGCAGTTCTGTCTTCCAAAACTGATTGACAAACCATAGTTTCCAGTTTAGCAGAACTGAGCCTATTTCACCTGGGCTAGCCACAGACTGGCTGTGGGTACATTCATAGAGCCACAGGCAGGCAGAGCCCACATCCACACAGACACCTAAGGCTGTGTATGAGCCCATATCCCTCCTCTCAGGGGGCTGGTGATTAGCTTAGGCTAAGGGCTGTGCTCACCACAAATACATGGCTTCACCTTCACTTCCAAGGAGCATCCAGCTGGCCCAGAGCATGAGCAACGAGATGATGTTTTCCTGCAAAATACCATGTAAAACACTAGTAAAATATTACATTCATTTTGAAAACACATTATCCCAAGAGGGATAAAAAATATCAGTTCAAAGAAAAAGTCGGGAAAATCTGGTCTTCAGGCTGCAAGATGTTTAACCTTTTTCATTCCTGAGAGCCGAGCATCCCACACACTTTCAGTGATAATAATAACAGTAGTAACAATAATAAGAGGAAATCAAAATCCGAAACAAAAGGTAGAACTGAAGACATAACACTTAGGAGTTATTCTAAAAATTATGCACCTAAAAGCTATAATTTAGGAAATCATACTTAATCAGCAGGAATCGAAAAAAAGATGAAATCCTCATAAAAAAAAAGGAAAAAAACTATTCAGAAAAGCCTTTTGTTGGTGAAATTACAGAAGCAAATGATGAATCAGATTGTGGCATGTTATTAGAAGGAAATGTCTATTCCCTATGAAAATGGCTCAAAAATAAAATTATCAGTTGCATTTCATGGGGATTTCACTTCTTGGGAAAAATAACACACTTACAAAAAATACATTTCCTGGGCCAATATAAAACTGTGGTGGGGGGAAAGAAGTTTCCCCCCTGGAGTTAAAAAAAATGGTAACTCCCAAGGGGGTGTTGTCACTTGATGTGGACCCAATGAGCGCTCCTGCAAAATATAAACATATCACAAGCAGACCGGAAAAGAAGGGTGATGCTGTAGTTGTTGGGAAGAAAGTGGCCATGTTGTAGAGCCACCAGGAGAAGGGGCAGAAGCCCGTTTGGGAGAAGCTGAGAGTCTTTCTCCACTGTGAGTGGGCAGCAGGAGATACTGAAAAGCGGCAGCAGAGCAGCAGTTGATGAAGAACAGTGGTAGAGACCCAGAAGAAGATAAGGAGCAGCAAAAGAAGCATGCAGCCAAGCAGGAAGACACAGACTTGTCTGAAAGAGAAAGAGAGCCGGCTACAGAGCAGGACTAAGCTCTGCAAAGAGAGTTTTGGGGTAAGAACGGAAACAACCTCTCCAAGCCCCTCTGAGACCTCCTAGAGAACAGAAGGAGATGGACTCCTATTTGAGAGAAGTCTTGGAGTGCAGCATGCACCGGAGAGAGGAGCTAAGAGGCTCAAGACATCCCAGAGCTGGACCAGGACGGCCAGACGGAATGCAGAGGGGGTGACCTTGCCCCCCCCCACACTGCTGCTGCCAAGCTGGCAGCAGCTGAGACAGAGCACAGGAGCTCTGATAGAACTCTTGAGGCAAAGGCTCTCAACTGAAAGCTGCCCGAGACATTCTGACTCAGGGTTGAATCCCCTGAGGAAAGGGACGATCATGAAGATGCCCGTGATATGACGTAGTGACGCAAGCTTGTCCCTGACATCACCGTCCACAGAAGAGAGGGGGGAGAGGAGATCCCCTTGTGTGTAATGGAAGGAGATCCAGCTACAACAGTCCAGCTACTGCTGCTGCATGGAAGAAGAGAGGCTGCTGCCCTGAGCGTGGAAAGGACTTCCCTTCTGGACTTTTATTGGAGGGAGAAGAGACTGATCCATTGTAAATACTGATTTATCATAGGA